GTCTATGGCCGGGTACCCATTCCCACCTGGGTGAAGTGAGGAAAATTCGTGTAAAGTGCCTTTCCCAAGGACACAACGTCGAGCCCACGGCTCGAACCCCCGAACCGGCAACCTCACGATTACGAGTCCGGTAGCCTAACCACAAGGCCACCGACGCCACAAAGTACCATAATGCTACAGTATAAAATTATTTCTGAAAAGCATGCTGTGTAAAAACATGCTTTGCTCAAGACATGCTTTTGCCACATAACAGATTAGTGAAAGGGCCAGTTTTGACTAGACCTGCCTTACACAATGTTTGTTTCCAAAGATATGCGTGCAACTCACTATGTAGATCTATGTCTTTTACTGTACAGTTGCTGAGAAAAACAAATTATGATGTCTGTTCTGCTGGGGCTGACAATCCATGCATGGGACATATTTTACCTAATCCACCCCCATTATCACAATGTATGCACAGCACATGCACTGGCCGCTCATCCAGTCTCTTCCAACCTGGGCATACGTTTAAACAAAAATTGAACGGATCTGTCATTTACATGACAAATGTGTAATTGAGTAAAAATGATCTTCGTTATTATTATTTTTATTTTTAATCATATATTTTTCTTTGTATTGGCAACACTTTTCTCAAACTCAGGTACAGATTTGTCGAACAGCTCATTTAGGTAAACAGAAACATTACCTTGATTAACTGATTTTTTTTTCATGCTGTGGACCGTTATTTTTGCCTGTCCAATTTTTAACCTCTATTTATTCTGTCCCTGCAGAATTATGCAAATTTTGATGGCCAAATTATGCAAGACAAATGCAAAATTATAGCAAGCTATCGTAACGCCATTCACAATATGTTTTGCACTTTTTTAACAAGAATTTTCATGTATTATGTACAGAAAAATTGAAAACAGAACATATCAGTATCAGTAATTTTTGTGTGTATTTGGAAAGAAAACAATACACATCCGTCAGGGGGAGAAAAAAAATATATATATGGAGAATTCTCCTGAAAACTTGAACTTGCGCATACCCTTTACTGCAGACACTATAAATATCTTTCTTTATTTCAAATCATAGTTAAAATGAGCTAAGCCGGTGGTGAAAAGGTAGCCGAACCTGGACTAGGCAGAAAATATCCGATGAAATGATATGCTGAAACAGTCTGGGCCTTTTTTGTTAAAAAATAAGCATTTTTTAGGTATGAAAACGTAACATTCACCAGAGACAGTTTTCCTCCCAAAATTTCTCTAAGAACTGCCTGCATCTCATTTTCGTAATTATGGGTAAATACTGATCTCAAGTAAAACTTTCAGGGTAACCGACAAATATATGCTTAATACGACCCATTTGTTCGTACAAAGGACATAAAATTATGTCTTAAACGCTACATGTCTCGTCCGAAAAATGATAACAGATAGTAACCCTATCTTCAGTTCAATCGATCATTTAAAAGGGGTAATTTTTCAGTGTAAAACTAGAAATGCGATCACTTTGGTCATTTCAACAACCAAGAACAAAATTACTACACTGATTACGAAATTTTGGCAGTAAATAATCGCGTCATTGAATTTTTGTGACGTTGTCACGATTAAGACCTGCGTGTTTACTTCTGCCAGAAGTAGCTCGAAATTTTAGTGCGGTGTTTATATGTCAAATGCACTGGTTTCCAGTCAACTTGGCTTTCATCTATTCCCTGGCAAAACAACGATGTCTATAGAAAGTGAATATGAATGACTTCGTCACGCAATTTTAGACATGTAACGATTAAGATGTAAGTAATCATTAAGACTCGGAATTGCTTTAAAATTTGCTTTCTTTTTTTATGACTGCAAAATTAGTGATTCATTAATGAAATCTTATAGTCCTTCAAGGAAATGGATGAGTTTGGATCCTGCCAAAACAAGGATTGTTGGTTATCGTAGTGTTTGTTTCGAAACGGACATTGGCCAAAGAGCTTGATTTCTTCATTTTAACAATTTAGACTTAGTCTTTGTGTTATAATCTTTATAGAATGAGTAGCTTCTTTAAGAATTTCATTTCATGCCACATATTTCTCGCTTTGGGGTTGGCAGTCGGGGCGATTAAAGGTGACAACTTGTTATCGTTGTCTGAAACATTGCAAATACAAGGATAAGGCTGCTTGGCTCGGTGTTTCAAATATTTAAGATCGGACATCAGTATTTAACTTAGTAGACAGACTCTGTCAATGGAATGCAAAGTATATTGATATGTCCTATTCTGGGTAATGCCCCACTGTAGGCTTGGTGGTGCAAGACAAGGGGTAAACACAGGGAACAAGGCGAAGAGGGCGATGCAAGTGATGTAACGTTGTATGAGATTTTCCATGTCAATTTTAGTTTCAGTTGAAAATGAACAAAAATATTGGCGCCGTTTCTCCTGATCAACGTGGTAACTCTAAAGAGAAAAGAAAGAAAGGAGTAGG